TATGGAGCTGCCTCCGGACAGTTTGCCAGGCTTCATTTCTGAAGAAGTTGTTCCTGTGCTGAAACAGCAACCTGGCACCCATACACATAATGAGTAGCTGATTTGGTATTTGATTAATAAAGAGGAGGAGATAAACCTGCGTTTCCCTATAAACACGGGGAACTTTGTGCATAATCCTGAACCAATCCAGCGAGTGCATGACAGCCCTCTGGACCTGGGAGATGGGGCCACTTTTAACAAGCAGCTGAAGCAGTCTTTTACAGCATGAACTGGCTGGTGAGAACAGGCCTAATTGCTGGTCTTTTGTGAAAACTATTACTCCTAAACAGTCCAGCCTGCAGTGTGGTGAGGCACCCGCTGCTGCCCAGCCTGCTGTCTGACATCTAGAGATGTGTTTCTGAGCTCTACACACCTTCCTCTCCCTGTATCCCTGGTGAGACACCTTCATGGTGCCTGCACTGACCTCATGTGGGTGGCAAAGAGGTTTAGGATTTCAAGAAAAATCACAAAAATGAGTAAAAACACAGGTTGGAGCACAAGTGTGATGGGGAACAGCTGAGGGAACTGGGGGTGTTTAGTCTGGAGAAGAGGAGGCTCAGGGGGAACTTTCTCTACAACTGCCTGAAAGAAGGTTGTAGTAAGGTGGGTGTCTGCCTCTTCTCCCAAGTAACAAGCAATAGGACAAAAGGTAACTGCCCCAAACTGCACCAGGGAAGGTGTAAACTGGATATGGAGAACAATTTCTTCACAGAGAGGGTGCTCAGGCATTGGAACAGGCTGCCCAGGGCAGTGGTGGAATCTGCCCCTGGGGGTGATCACAAACAGTGCAGACGATGCCCTCAGTGGCATAGGTTAGTGGTGGCTTTGGCAGTGCTGGGGTACAGCCTGGACTTGTGATCTTAAAGGTCTTTTCCAACCTGTCTGAACCCATTATTCTACCTGAGGCCACAGCTGGAGAGCCTCCTGCTGCCTTCCCGCCCACTGGGGTGGATGTCGCAGGGTCACACACCCCATTCACCCCCTCGCTCCTGGGTGGGTGCCGCAGCGGTCGGGTCTGACTGCGACAGGGATGGGGCCAACCCCACGGGGACTGTACAAGCGCTGCCGCCCAGCCGCCTCCGCCACAGCCCGGGCTGGGTCTGCGCGGCAGGGCTGGGCCAGGCCCTCCATGGCTCCGCCCCAGCTCTTTAATCGGCTGCGGGGCCGTGCCGAGCTGAGACGCGTCGGGCGAGCAGAGCGCTGAGGTGAGAGCAGTGGAGGTGCGCGATGGGCGCGGTGGTCGCTGCGCTGTGGGGCCTGTCCCGCTCCACCCCACCCGTGAGGGCTGCGGGGCGTCCTCCGGAGATGGGGTGTGAGGGGGGCCGGGGACGGTGCTGGGTCCGGGAAGGGGCGCAGGGAGCGGGTTCGGCAAAAGGGTGTGTGAGGGCCAGCGCTGCGGGCAAGGGGAGGCGCACGGAGCGGTGGCTCCGCGGTGCTGCTTAGTCAGTGTGCTGAGCGGAGCGGAGCTGTGACACGCCTGGCTTCCCCCGGGTCCCTGAAAAAGCAATCTAGCTGGATAGTTTGAAGTTCCTCAGTGCCTGTCTTGGGGCTGGTTTAGGTTTCTTGTGTTTATGTTGTAATAAATTGTTTGGAGAGGACTTCGCAGTCACTGTGACTTATCCCTGGTGTTTTGGAGAACGCTGAATAGCGTGCTCCCCACTTGATGGGTACAAGCTTAGTAGAAGTTGGGATACTCTTATTAGAGGACAGTACCAGCCAACAAACCTGCAGTCAAAAGTCGGGGTTGTTGGCACTGGTAGTGAGATCACCTGGGTGTCTAACTGCTGCTGCAGAGCTCCCTGGAGGCCTGCCTGAACTAGCCAGCAGGTCCTGAGGGAGCAGGGAAACCTTAATGCAGGGCTCGAAATGTGGATCTTCCATCTGTGGAGCTCTGGGCAGCAGAAACCCAGGGGGGTTCCAGTGGGTAGGAATACAGGCTTGTATGCTGGCCTATGTGCAGAGCTGTTTCATCTTGGCCAGTTTCACCTTAGGTGCCTTCTGGGCACCGCTGCCTCAGGGTAGCCTTTGCTGTTGGGTAACTGAAGAAATACTTCTGTTCTTCCCACACAAGCCGTCATGGGATGATAAATGGAAATGTCTTCTGTCGAAGAGGCAAAGGTGACCTGTAAATATTGACTTCAGTCCCTTTGTGCTTTTCGTTTAACAAATTCCCAGAGCCCTTATCAGAAGCTGACCAGAGTCCGCTAATGGTTGCCAGATCGTCTAATACTCCATCTCCTTTGGGAAGGAGGGGTGGAGCTGCACCCAGTTATACTGCTGCCCAGTATTCCATGGGAGATCTGGGGTGAAGCTGGAAGCCTGATCCAGTTCCTCAGCTCTCGTGTGCATGGCAACTAAATAATTGTTTGCTAACAAAGTGATTAAAATAATTTAGGCTCATGCAAATGCACAAAAAAAGCATGAGCGTGGGGATGGTGAGACGATAAGACAGAAGTAGCAGTTCCTGTACCAAATACCATTTGTGTTTTGGAAGGCATACAAAGTGGAGAGGAATCTCTTCTTTTCCCCTCTTTTTTTCTTATAGTTTTTTTTCCAGCCTGCGCATTCCTTTTTCCAAAGCTTTGTGCAGCCTATATTCCCTTTAAATAAGGACGCTCTTTGCCGTGATTGATGTCAGCTGCTGTGTAGTAGCACAGCCAAGCACTTGAATACAAGAAATGGAATCTTAATTTTTAGACTCTACAGTTGTGCCAAGAATGACAAAGGCAAAGTGGGATATGTCATAAAATGTCATATAACTACTTTTATGAGCTCTGCCAGAGTATTAGTGCTAAACCATGGAGCAGTAATGGTGCTAATCCTGTGGAAGTATTAAACAAAGGGATATCTCAGTAATTAGTGTCAGTGTGCAAATGGCACTGCTCAGCCACTCCAAGGAAGTTTCCTAAGCCTTTGCTTAGGAATGTACCTAAGATGCCCCAATTTAGCTTAATAAACTAATCTTATTTTCCCACATGCCATGAATGGCTGTCTGCTTGTCTTGGACAAAGGTCTTGTAGCAGCTACTTGGCAGCATGTCTGACTTAGGAACCGTGCACCCTGCCCTGCATCCCTAAAGCTGCTGGTCAGGCTGTTGGGGCAGGAGGCTTGTTCTAGCAGCACCATCAATATGGGTTGCTTGATTCAGGCTCTGAGATGTGATCTGTGAGTCTTCTCTACCCTTCCTGGGGAGCATGAGGCCGCAGCCAGACCCACTTCCTCTGCACCGATGTCTCTCCCACACGTTGGTGGGAGCCATGAGAGAAAAGGATCTTGAAGCAAAGCAAAGATCCTCTGCCTCCCTGTGTTGGCAGCGCTTCCAGTTCCTCTCTGTTGGCCAGATCATGGTGATGCTTCCAGTTCCTCTCTGTTGGTTAGGGGAGAGCTGGAAGGTGGTAGTCCTCTGCTTCTGGCTCAGAGGGGTGAATGGCAAAGTGACTGAAGGGAGAAAGTTGTGGGCATGGTGTGGGGTTTCTTCTCACTGTTTGGCCAACAGAGGATTGCTTCTAAGGGCAACTGAAGGTGAGTTCTGCTGAGAGAAGTCAGAAGCTCACAAATTCCTTCCTTCCCTTCCTCCCTGATAGCTGACCCATACCACAGTGTGGCTGAGGGGGAATGGTGCTGCTGGTGGGGTAGGGTGGCAGGAGGTTCCTCTGGGCTTCCAGTGGGCAAAGCCATGGTCCTCACCCAGAAACCCTGTTTGAAACATGGGTCAGCAAGGAGCAGTGGGGGTGATGAGGCTTGAGCAGCTCTGCTGGGTTAGTCTCACTGAGACAATAAACCTCTCTCTGGCTGCTGTTGGGCTTGCAAGAGGTGCTTCTCTGGTGGTGAATTGCAGGGCAGCAAACCCATGTTGACGAGCAGCCACAAGTCGAGGGTGGTTCAGTGACACCTGAGAGATGTGCCTTCAGCAAACACTGCTGTATTAGCTTCTGGTGGTGGTGGTGGCAGAAGGAGGAAAGCCCCTGGGAAGCTGAAGGTGGCTGGCAGTGCTCTGCTTTGGTGCTGTGACCTGGGGCATTAATAGAAGGAGCTCCCAGCTGAGCTGGGTGGGAACTGCTGGGGTGATAGCAGCAGTGCAGGAAAGCTGGGGAGGGGGCAGACTGGCCTGAGATGGGACCATTGCTGCTTCTGACTTAATGTAGGAAACTGTTCCCAAGGCTGCAGTTTGACATAATGGGTGATGGTGCCTGTCCCACCCTCCTAGCCTTATGAGTGTCTATTGCAAGTAATGTAGGTGAGGGAGTTTTGTTTTAAAGAAGCTGTGGCTCCCTGAGTTTGGTTTGGTTCATATATGTGCCTGGTATGTTCATGTAATAGCAATGGAGTCCCCAGGAAATGATGCCCCTTACACTCATTTGAAGTGTAGGCTTGATCTTGAAGGAGTTCAGAATGTCCCTGCAGCCCTAATAAGTGTTTTTCCGCTGAAGTGAACTTTGGCTTGTACCGCATCCCAGATGATACGCCCTGCAGTAAAACAAAATGCCGTTGTTGGCACAATTGGTTTGCTTCCATCAGACAAGAGGCCCAGCATTAATGAAGCATAGAAACTGAAATTGTATCCAGCTGGGGGGGGAGCATTCGCACAAGGTACAGTAAAGCCCTTGTGCATGAAACTGTAATTTGTGCATATCCAATTTATGTAACTTCCAAAACCCTGGGCAGGGACAGGAGGACACGTCTCTTGAAGACCGTGACTCTGTTTTTCTTGCTGTTAAGCAGCAGCCTCTGTTCCCCTTGCCAGTCCATCTGCTGTTACAAATAGCTCTAGAGAGCCTGCCTAAGCCTTTAAGCCTGGTCTGGGATCTCAAGGGCTGAGAAGTGGGTCTGACCACAAAAACTCCTCACACGGTGGAAGGTTGTGTTTTCAAACAGCTGGTGAAATCGCAGGCACTGTGCTCTGGTACACAGGCTTCACAGGCCTGGTCTGAAGGAGCCTGTAACCCCAGCTGGCCTTCTGCTGCGGCACTGGAGGGCACCGTGGCTAACAGAGCTCTCCCTTTCTCCCCCTGCCAGGCACGCAGAGCCACCATGCCGAACTGGGGAGGCGGCAACAAGTGCGGCGCCTGCGGCCGCACCGTTTACCATGCTGAGGAGGTGCAGTGCGACGGCAGGAGCTTCCACCGGTGCTGCTTCCTCTGCAGTAAGTACTGCCCTGTCCTGGGGGTCACTACAGCAAGGTGCTGCTCTGCAGGAGACATCCCAGGCTCAGCTGGCACCTGTGACACACAGGTGATGGTGTGGTCAGAGATGGCTTTGTCCATCATGTGTTGGGTTTGACACCTGCTTCACCATGTGCTTGCTGGGCTGGGCAGTACCAAAGGGAGAGTCTGTCTCCTGGAGAGAGATTATCCTACCTGTCCAGTGTGGGAGATGCACCTCCAAAACCAGAGCACATTGCGCTTTTCTCCTGTATGCCCCCTTCCCAGCCTTCTCCTTGGGAGTCTAAGGGATCTAGGATAGAAACCTGGCATAAGTATTGCTTAAGCAGAGGAGAAAGCCCCATAGCAGAGCTCTGTTTGCACTGATCTCAGCTCAGCTGGACTTCTCCTGGAGGTCCTGGGGCCGGCAGCAGCTGAGGGAACAGTTATCACAGCCCTGCCCTGAAGCCCCACACAGAGCAGGACACCAGCGTGCTTGAGCACAGCCAAGCTGTTGATGCTTTAGCACAGCCAAAAGCCTAGACTTTATTGGCACAGGGGCCTGTGATTTATTTCAGATGAAAGGAGTCCAGAGCGTTAGTTTCCAGTCCAGCCAACACACCCAGAGAGGCATTGAAAATCACTCTCTCTGCTGAAAAGATCTCTGCTTGGATGGAGGGAACAAAGGGTCGCTGTGAATCCGAGGCTCCTTCTTGGCAAACAGACAGCCTGTCTGTCTGAATCAGAGAATTATACCTGACTACAAACAGGACATACTGTTTTGTCCCACTTGATGGTGTTTTAATACCTGTGGGCACAGCCAGGGTTTTAGCCCTCTTCACATAAGCTGCAGTTACCCCTGGCTCTCTCAAAGTAGTTTGCTGTAGCGTGCAGCGTAACACCAGCGCACTGTGCTGGCATGTGAGCCTCGGCACACCTACGCGCCTTAGCTCTACAGCAGTCGCAAAAACAAGATTAGATGTCTCGGCTGCCTCATTTTCAGCCTTTTATGGGAGTTTCTATTAAAAGAAACCTGGAACTTAGAATCAGACAATGGCTCTAGTGTGTCTGAGTATTTGCTTTTCCTTAGTGCGCAGTTCTGGTGGGGTTAAAGTCTGTAGGTTTAACAAACATGCATTAGTTGATTTACTTATTGGATATTAGCATCTTATAAAAAGAACTTTGGAGCTAATGAATGCCATAAGCAAAGGTCACCCTGTGTTTTGAAGACCTTAAAATTCTTTTTAAGCAAAAAAATTCACAAGGCTTTTTCTATTTTTTTCTCCTCAAATTCTTTATCACGGGCATAATACTGTTGCAGATGGGAAGAGCGTGCCAGCTGGGATACAAAAGAAGGTTTAAGGAGGAAACAGTTCTGCCTTCTACTGTAACCTTGAGCAGAGAACTTGCATTGTGCTGAAGGACAATGTAGGAATGCCACAAAAGCACAGCCCCTCCGGTGACAGCTGTGAAATGGCCCCAGCTCTGCCCCAAACCAGCACCGAGGCAGGGAAAACCTTGAAGGTTGTTTTCTTTCCCAGCCCCACCCTGGCCAGAAGGGCAGGACAGGGACTTTTCTGCACTGGTAGACTCCTGCTTTATGCTGCATGGCATCTGTCAAGGGAAACTGCTGACTGCGCTATCTGGGTTTCTGAGCAGCCTCATTCATCAAACCACAGCAGGTTTCCAAGCTTTAAATGTCATGGCCATGAAGAGGTGGGAGGGAACAGAGCCCTTTATAGAGCTAAGCATAATTCACTCATTCAAACAGCAACCTGCTCCCTCTAATCTCTGACAGTCCCAAGACTTGTGGACTAGGAAACCCATAATATCACTTCTCACTTGATTTTTGGCTTACTACATGTGCTGATGGAAATGGCCCCTTAAGGCAGTTTAACTTTTTGGCTTTTTCCTCCAGTGGTCTGTCGGAAAAACTTGGACAGCACAACTGTAGCGATTCATGATGCTGAAGTTTACTGCAAGTCTTGCTATGGAAAAAAGTATGGACCAAAAGGTTATGGATATGGTCAAGGGGCAGGAACGCTGAACATGGACAGGGGAGAGAGACTAGGCATCAAGCCTGAGAGGTGAGTTGGACAGGGTGTGATCCTTGTCTTCAGTACCGCTTTCAGAGGAGTCTTTCAGGCTGGATTTTGTTCAGGACCAGAGAGTCATGGAATGGTTTGGGTTGGAAGGGACCTTTTAAAGCTTATCCAGTTCCAACCCCTCTGCCATGGGCAGGGACACCTTCCACTAGACCAAGTTGCTCAAAGCCCCATCCAACCTGGCCTTGAACACTGCCAGAGACGGGGCAGCCACAGCTTCTCTGGGCAACCTGTGCCAGTGCCTCACCACCCTTACAGGGAAGAGCTTCTTCCTAATATCCAGTCTTAATCTACTCTTTTCCAGCTTAAAGCCATTCCCCCTTGTCCTGTCACATCACGCCCTTGTAAAAAGTCCCTCTCCAGATTTCTTGTAACCCCTTTAGCACTGGAAGCTGTTCTAAGGTCTCCCTGGAGGCTTCTCCAGGCTGAGCAACCCCAGCTCTCTCAGCCTATCTTAATAGGAGAGGTGCTGCAGCCCACTGACCACCTTTGCGGCCTCAAGACTGTGGGTCTCAAGTTGCTGTCCTGAATAAGCTGCAAATGCAAGTGTTCAACAGGTTGGTGCAGGGATGGTTTCAGAGCTGAGAATCTGGGGCTACAAGAAGAATGAATTTTTAACTGGCAAATGAAGAACCATTTGTGCTTAATTATAGCCAAACCCCCTATTAAATAGTAAAATTCCTAGTTTGATTAAGTCCTTGCTGTGAAGAAAAGTGTGTGGAAAGAACCTGAGGTATGCCTCACAGCTTGCTTTGTGCCAAGTTCCCACGTTAGTGCTTGATGTTTACATGGTGTATGCTCTCCAGCCAGGCTCAATGACCAGTTCAGGTTCCAGACAGGAATTTAACAGAGCTCTTTGTAGCTTACTGTCTGAGGGATTCATGTCCTGACACAGAATTCAGCACTTCTAGAGAAGTGAAAAGGAGAAGGCTCCTCAGAAAACTAGCTTTTACAGCTTCTTATCATTTGAAGTAGGACCTTTCTCTCTTTGGATTTGTTTTGTTAGAGCTCTTTTTCCCTACTAAGTTGTCATTGTCCAGCCTTGCTGGTAACTTACTGCTCCAGTCCTGCAGAGGTACTGTGTGGTGCATGCTGCTCTGTTAGTGTTAAGAAGAGCAACAGATCATTTAGGATAAGAATAAAGACCACAACTGTCCCCTTTCTTTCAGCACACCCTCTCCCCACCGACCCACAACAAATCCAAACACTTCAAAGTTTGCCCAGAAGTTCGGAGGGGCAGAGAAGTGCTCCAGGTGTGGTGATTCTGTGTATGCAGCTGAGAAAGTAATAGGAGCTGGAAAGGTAAGGAACTGGTGTCCTGTTCATACCTGCTGCATGGACTTTCAAGTGAGCCAGCCAGATGTGTCATGTGGGTTCCAGGAGGGAAGCAACTGCAGGGCAGAGTTACCTTGAAATTGCATTTCTTAGTATTGGGAATAGTACTTGGAATTTGATCAACTTAATTGAACAGAAAGCACTTGAAACGCAGGGTGCTGAGTGCTCACCTTGGGGTTCAGAGCTAAGCTTCACTATCATCTCAAGTCAGAGACATGAAGTTGATTACATGAGTGCTCTCTCCCTGCAGGAAAGGGAAAAGGCTTGTGGTGTGCAGCTCCTGATGGAGGCTGAAGGGGATGTTCTCTGGAAATACCCTGTAAAGCTGTGTGTCAGTCTGCCAGACTCACTAAAGGGAGTCAAGATCTGTTCTGAACTGGTTAGAGCAAGCCCAAACCTTCCAAAACACTGCCCAGAGTGGGATGCTCTCTGGAATGAGGGCCTTTGGGCAACTTGGAGAAATGTAGATGCTCTTTGCTGCTAGTGAACTGGTGTTTGTTACACCAGTCATTTATAAGCAATACTGATGCAGGCACCTCCAGTTAATGCATTGTTTTTTTACCAACTCAGGCATTCTTTGCATTTAAGATGTCTTTTTTTTTCTTGGTATTTTTCCCCTAGCCATGGCACAAAAACTGCTTCCGATGTGCAAAGTGTGGAAAAAGCCTAGAATCTACAACTCTAACTGAAAAAGAGGGAGAAATCTATTGTAAAGGTGAGGAAAGAAACAAATGCCATTTGTTTATGGTTCAAGGTAATGTGTGACAAGGATAGCTGCTCAATTTATTCCCAGTATAAGAAATTTTCATGCTCTTGTCAAGATAGAAGTGTTCTATAAGGCATAGGAATAGAGCTGATAAATGAAATATTTCTGAAGCTGCTGATGTAGTTTACATCTGCATCAAGCAAAACATTGCACACTGAGAAGTGCAAGAGCAGCCCCTGCCCTCTCCCTGGGTCAGGGAGTACATCAGAGTAAGAAAACAAGCTAGCCACCATCCTGCCATGCCTTCTTCCATGGCATTACGGATATAAACTGGATCCGCACAGTGGTTTGATAACATGTGCCATAACAGATGCCTGGGCACAGAACTGATGAGCTGCTTTCACAGAGCAGGTTGGGAGCTACATGGACTGAACAGCCATAGTGGCTGGGTTCAGTCATGGCAGTTATGCAGCTTGACAATGTTTTCAGGCATTGTTTCTGATGGGAAGCAGATGAGGCACTTGTCCTATGCAGAGCTGTTGTTAATTAATCAGCCATAAGCTTCAGATACTCCACGTTCCTCTTTATCACAGGTTGCTATGCGAAGAACTTTGGCCCCAAGGGATTTGGGTACGGCCAGGGAGCAGGTGCCCTTGTTCATGCCCAGTGAGGAGGCATGGCTCAACACCCCTTATGGCTCTGCTGAGATCCTGCTACAAGAACCAAGAGTTTCCTAAATGTTACTAACTACTGTGAAACAGCTACTAGTTACTGTAGTACTTGGGCAGACATTCAGCAGATGATTAGTGTTTTTAAAAAGCACTGCTTTTTTCCTTGCTTTGTGTATCACACTGTAACACTTTTAATACTGAGTATCAAATTAATAAAGCTTTGCTTATTGATATATCTTAAAGCCAAGTGTCATCTTTTATGATTGACAAAGCAAGTGAGGGGTAGTGTTGTTGGGGTATGTGAGGGATGCAGATATGATGTTACAGACTTGGTGCAGACCTTCGCTGAAAGCTGAATGTATGTAATACAGGTTCTGTCCTTCAGAGGTGCATGGACTGACTTTCACTATCATAGAATGGTTGGGTGGGAAGAGATCTTGAAGCCCATCCAGTTCCAACCTTTCTGCCATTTACAGGGACACCTTCCACTAGATGAGATTGGTGAAAGCCACATCTAACCTGGCTTTGATTGGTATTGAGGGTGTGGTGTGCACAGGATTTAGTATGCAGAAGCATTCTACCAAGACAGCTGCAGATTAATACCATCCCTATGTGGCAACTGACCAAGCTCTGGACTATCACACCAAACGCAGGTTTAAGAGCAGCTTTTGACCTTTCCTTGATAGTACTAGGACCCTTAATTCCCTGAAGCTGGTGGAGGGTTTCAGCATCTTGAGGATCTGACAAGGCAGCTGCAATGCAATAACAGAGCTGAGTAAAAATCTGTTTTAAACACTCTGGCAGAAAATGTGACTTGAATGAAAGGTGATGGGCAACAAGTAATGGCAGTTAAACACATCAAATGCAGTAGATCAATGCTGTGTGAACACACCACATGTGTTTCACCATGTTGGATTAAAACCATAATAATCAGAGACCTTGACTCTGCTAATGTAACTCTTTAGGAATTGCTGCTAATAAAGGTCTAGAATTAGGAAAGTTTCCTTTGCCTTAACCAGATCTTGAGTGGAAGGCTGATGGAAGAGCTTGGTTAGAGCAGGTCCCAATATCAGTCTGAAGTTTCTTCTGCTTCACCTGAAGCAGACCTCACTGGTGTGCTCAGCCTCCTCTACTAAGCTACTTTTGCAAAGCTAATCCCAGAATCCCAAGGGTTGGAAGGGACCTCAGAAGATCATCTGGTCCAACTCCCCTGCAAGAGCAGGGTAACCTAGAGTACATCACACAGGAACTTGTCCAGGCAGGCCTTGAATATCTCCAATGTGAGAGACTCCACAACCCCCCTGGGCAACCTGTTCCAGTGCTCTGTCACTCTCACAGTAAAGAAGTTTTTCCTGATGTTCACATGGAACCTCCTATGTTCCAGCTTACACCCATTGCCCCTTATCTTATCACTGGGCATCACTGAAAAAAAACCTAGCTCCACCATCCTGACACTCAACCTTTACATATTTGTAAACATTGATGAGGTCGCCCCTCAGTCTCCTCCAAGGTAAAGAGACCCAGCTCCTTCAACCTCTCCTCATAAGGGAGGTGTTCCACTCCCTTAATCATTTTGTGGCTCTGCGCTGGACTCTTTCAAGCAACTCCCTGTCCTTCTTGAACTGAGAGGCCCAGAATGGGCCACAATATTCCAGATGCGGCCTTCCTCTTGCCTACAGTAGAGGAGGCACATGACATATGGGCACTGATGCCTTCTAAAAGCACAAACCATGCCTTAGAGGAGCATGCCTGAGCTCTAGCAGGCAACAGGCACTTGTAGGAGTCTCTTCCCATCCCTTCCAGTGAAGGGCTTCACTAGAGTCCAACCACATGTGGAAGGAAGTCTGAGTAGAACGGACCCAGTGGTGTGTGGTAGAGAGGGAGGCTCAGTTACAACTCTCATCCTGCCCAACAGGAGTTAGTTAAAGAAGAGAGATTTGAAACTGTCAGGTTGGGGATGCAGGCCGATAGCTTTGGAAGAGAAAGAACTTTGACAGAGTCAATTTATGAAGATACATTCAAGACTGGAAATGTTGCAATAAGATATTAAGCAAGTGTGTAAGCACAGTCTAAGGCAGAGCTTCAAGCAACATCCAGGACTGTGGTCTGAGGCAGTGCAAGCCAAAAACCTAATTAGAAAAATATGTACTAGTGAAAATAGCACACAAAGAGCATTTTGTACAGGTTACAAAGGAACAATATTGCTGTGAGGAAGAACAGCCAGCCTTCTCCAAACGTGTATAGTTCACAGAAAGGGAGACTGCAACTTAAAGAGACAACCATAAGGCAGAAGCAGCACAGATGTCATGGGGAGAGACACAGCAAGCAACAGCACAGCACAGCAAACCTGGGCAGAAGCTTGGTCCTGCTACTCACACTGATGATCCAATACTTTTGTCCTTAAAAACCCACAAAACCCCCAAAACTTTTCTTCTTTGACAGGTCAACAGCTGTGCAGGAAGGGTTGGTACCCTCTTGACTCTTACAGCCTGGACAAGCACAGCTCTAACTTAAAAATCATATCCAGGTCCTAGCAGCCAAGGACATGGAAGACCCTGATAGATAGTATCCCCTTTCCATAGCCTTGTTACCTGATGGAAGTGCTTCCTCTTCTCAGGAAAAGCATTATATAAGGCTTGAGCAGCACTGTTCAATAAGCAGAAACCAAAATAATGCTCTTGACACACTACAGAGTAGATGAGAGTGCTCCCCATTAGTTGATGTAGCTACTGTAGCGGATTTAAACCCACCACATTAGCAGAGTTGGCAGGTGCGATTTACACTGACAAAACCAGGCATCTAAAGCACTGTTTACCTATAAAAAGTGCTTTATATTCTTCAGAAAATAAATTGTAGAAGTCATTCAAACTGCTGAAATACCAAGAGCTTTCCTTTCAATTTCCTGGAGGCAGTCTGAGTGTCTCATTGCTCCATACAGCTCTACACCCCAACAACAACAAAAGAAGAAATTAAGGATAAAGAAAGCTTGCACGCATAAAAGCCAATATACCTTGTCAAGAGAAATGAGAACCCTACACTGAAGCACTGTCCCTTGGTTATTGTCAACCTTCCAGCTGCAGCAAAGCACTGATGAACAAAAGCTCAGCCCAGGATGGAGCAGTGCTTTGAGTCAGTCTCAGTTTGGAGCCCTAGTTCCATGAGAGATTGGTTCTCAAAAGCACTTAAATCATCTGGAGATCTTCAGTAGCATGTGGGATTGGAGGCAGTGTGAGCATGGCACAAAGTTCATGAGATTCTGCAGATAACTTCAAGCAGGGTCATTTCTACTGTTAAGGTGGATAAAAATCTAAGCGCAAGCGTTCACAAGTAGACACTGCTGTTATAGCCAAAACATCTAATTTTACTTAGAGGCAGCTTAGGGGAGGTGCGAGGGAGTGAACTATAATCAAGCCATAATGAGGGTGCAGAGGGCAGGCTGCTTCCTAAACAAAACAAACCCAGCAACCAGCTTTCAAGCTATCAGGAGCCCACCCATACTGCAAGAGCAGCAGCTGCTCTAACAGAGAGCTGCAGATCCCTGATGGAGAGCAGCAGAACAGAATGTCTTCTTTAAGGTACCTTCCCTGATCTTTCCCTGACAAGTCAAAGGGGGGTCAGCTGTGCCCAGTCTCACCAGAACCATTGCTTGGGGAAGAGGAGGACAGCACCAACAATTCTCAATGCCAGTTTTGAACCCAGGAGGAAACACTTTTCTGTCCAAATTAGGTGTACTCTTTGAGTCCTAGCCTTAATACTTTAAGGGCTGATGCTGGTTATAAATACACTGACTAAATTCCAGCTTGGATGGTTACCTTGTTTCTACTCAAAACCTAACCTTTAGCACAGAGCAGAAGAGTCAAGGCATTCCATCTCCTGCAAAGTGCCACCTAGAAGCACGTATGTTGGTTACAACTCCTAGCCCTGTGTCTATGTCTTGTTTACCCTTAGAATACCTCAACTGTCATTTATCCAATAGGCACATGTGGCCACCTGAAGTATTCCCTAGAAGGAATTCTCCATTAAGAAACCTAGCTTGCCATCCTGCTTTGCTCAACAGAGAGGAGTATCTAATAAATGAGTGATAATTCTAATTGGTAGTGCAAAAGGTGTACTTCACCAAAACCCACTGCAGTAGTTCAGAGGATTTCCCATCAGCACGGAATTGGGTGCATGCATGTCTTTAAGACACCAGTAAAAGAAAGACCTTACTAAAATGAGATGCAAGACAGCAGCTATTTTCTCATGGTATGGCTTCTGAAACTAGACAGAGACACCACTCTGTGAAATCACATCCCCAGTCAAAGACAAACACTGCATCTAAGAGTCAATATTTATTTGATTAATAACTTACAAAATTTAACAGATTTAATTTATGTAAGGAGAGCTAATTTATTAAACATTTTACAGATTTTTTTTGTTCACAATGTAATACATCAAGATCTTGACAGTATTAAAATAATACTTGGCACAGTTATAAATAAAGAATATACAAAAAAATCCATAGCTTAAAATGTAGTGATGCTGTTTTACACATTAATTGGAAAACCAAAATAATATCTGGTGGATATCAAAGAATACAGAAACCTGCAAAGAAACAGCACATGTTTAGGGCCAAGACAAAATTCCCATTTATTCTACCTATGTCAGATTAAGTTGGTCTGATCTGCTGTTGGTCTGGATCAGCTTTGTTAGGTTTCAGAAGCAATGAAGTTTTGGTTCAACAGGTGAATTGTATGTTTGATAACTTGACAGGAAAATGCTGCATAGTTGGCTCCCCCCTGCTTGATTTTACAGTTTCACATCAAACCATTCAGCGTTACTCAAGACAAATCACATTTTGCACTGGAAACTCCATACATCCTAAATCCAGATATGCAAGTTAATTTTCACAGCTACCCACTACTGCTCAAATTCTGCAGGTCTCAACAGAACTGTCACCAGAGAGCTATTAACAAGTAAATAGTGCAGAACTCACTACATACTACCAAAGATCACCTCTTCTTTTACAAACATTTGTGTGACACAAGTCATGGCAGTTAATGCTACTGGGCAACTAAAACCAGAACTTTTATCACGTACTGAACTGCTCTTCTGGTGCTAGGCGTTAGTCAATAAAGTGGATGGAAGTTCTTCAAGTCAACCGACCCCTAACAGAAATGTGGGAATGAAAACCAAACCCCTACTGAAGAAATATGTAGAACATTACTGGTGATTAAAACAACATTGAAAGTCTTCATGCTTT